TAAGATCTCCACTGATGCCTCTATCAAGGAGATGATCCCACCCGGTGCTCTTGTCATGCTCACTCCCCTCATTGTCGGGATCTTCTTTGGCGTGGAAACCTTGTCTGGTGTCCTTGCTGGATCCCTCGTCTCTGGTGTACAGGTAATGTTTTAAAGAATCCTTAACAGATACAATTAATACTCTAGAATACCTGCGTTAACACATTGTCTTTGGGTTTGTGTAGATTGCTATATCTGCATCCAACACTGGTGGTGCCTGGGATAACGCCAAGAAGTATATCGAGGTAAACTGAACTAAACTAACCGTTTATGTTACGGTTCAGTTATAATATAGCATTTCTAACGAGTGGATACACAGGCTGGGGCTTCCGAGCACGCAAGAACTCTTGGTCCAAAAGGATCTGACCCGCACAAGGCTGCTGTGATAGGCGACACTGTGGGTGACCCTCTCAAGGACACATCTGGGCCGTCGTTGAACATTCTTATCAAGCTCATGGCTGTCGAGTCGCTTGTTTTTGCTCCTTTCTTTGCTGCCCATGGCGGTCTGCTCTTCAAGATCTTTTAGAAAACATTCTAACTTGTCATCAAAAGTTGCTGAAATTAGTAAAAGTTGAGGTTTGCTCAGAAATTTTCACCTATTCTGGGAGGAGATGACTTTGCGGCGGCGCTGCTGATCGTGAAATATTTGGAATAGTTGGGAGATCCTTTTACATGTATCGTTTTCCGGCCAACATTTTCTTTTTGGGACCATTATGTTAAGAAATTTTGTTGGAATCGGTAACTTTTATGGATCTGTGTTAAATTGACCGGTTGAACTGTTTACATTTCTTTTTGCACAATATGATTGGGTTTAGTGCCAACGTGCCTAATATTGGTTTAATATATTCTAAATTCAGTATTTGCCAATTTGAATTCTTGTTTTGGGTGTAATACGTCTCTTGTTGGCTAAAAAAATTTACATTTGAAATTTTAAATATAGTTATCTTTTACGTGAAAAAGTGTTTTGATATAAATTAAAAAACTTCAAAATTTATAATCTTTATCATCTTCTTCTTCTTTATAAAAATTATCAATCAGCTAATGTTATCAACTAGTTATATTCTCTAATTAACTTAATCAGCTAACAGTTATTTATCAAACAAGCTTATAACATCAGTTGATTGAAAATGTGTATAGTAAAATTAGCTGTTAGTTGATAACTGTTTGGTATAATTATTTTTTTCCCAAAAAGCTAATTGAAAAAGTTGTTTTGAGTAGATTTTTAAATTTTAGCATTTTAAAGTTACAAAAAGTTAATTAATCAAACACTATTTTTTAACCAAGTCAAACAATTAATAATGATCAAATAAGTCAAAATTGATTGATAGACTAACATTTTATCAAACCGGGCTAAAATCAAATGTATAATAGTTATGTTTAGATTGGGATGAATCTATATATATCATCTCTTACTTTTTTTTTTTTTTTTTTTTTTTTTTTTGTTGGCAAAAATATAATCTCTTACTTTATTCACCTCTATTTGTCTATTTTAATCCCTACCACAACTTCAATTATGTAACTTATTTAATAAAGATTAGAGAGACCCCAATGATTTGGTTATTATTATTACTAGTAATTTACCCGCGCGATGCACGGAAAAAAAATTATGTTATTATAAATAAAAATAAAAATAAAAAAATTAAAATATTTTAAATTATTTAATATAATAATATTTTTGAGTTTTCATTAGTCAAGTATTTATTATTTTTATAGAATACAAAATTACAATTAAAATTAAAATTAAAATTAAAATTTTGTATGGTTAATATAATCTCTAATTATGTGCATATTCAAATAAACTTATAGAGATAATTTACATAATTACATTGATTTATTCTTAATTGTATTTCATCTATATTATAATTTTCACAATACAAATAATAACTAAGATAATTACATTTGGAAAGCAAATTTTAAATTTTGTATGTGTAAATTTAAACTCTAATTGAACACATTTTTTATATGATTATATAATATATAGCTATTTTATTTTTCAAAAGTATATTTTTTATATGATTATATAATATATAGCTATTTTATTTTTTAAATGTTGTGCTTTTTTTTTTTTAATAATAATAAAGGATGTTGTGGCATTAATTGTAACATTAATTATTTCCCAAACCATATAGCTTTATTATATAAAGGATAAAGGATTATTATTATTATTATTATTATTATTATTATTATTATTATTATTATTATTTTAATGCAGTCTTACCATGTTAATTTTGTAAACGTATAACTTTTTTATTTAATCAATAAAAGTCAAAATGATCGACCACCTTGACGAAGTAGACAGAGGTTATGGCTTTCTTTTCTTTTTATTTTATCTTTTTTGAACAAAAACTCACACCCCTGGCAGTAAAACACAATTCCTCTTGAGTCTTGTTAGGCCTCTATTGTCCTTTTTATATTGATGGAGTCTCATATTCCTAAACCATGTGTAGTATATTTGTGTGTATTATGTCCGCGTACTGTATGTATGTGTTCCAGAATACAAACATTCATTGTGCGACGATTCCTGACTGCTCTGTTCGTGTTTCTTCCAACGAATGAACCGTCTCCGATGCTGCTAGCTACCGTCTCTTTTCGGCTAGTAGTACCAAATTCTCTTTCTATGGTGCATCATTTTGTTTCTATCAAGTTAACCTCACAGAATTTTCTCTCCTGGCACATGCAACTTGTTCTGTTTCTTCTCTGAGTATTCCCCCTCTTTGTGTGTGTGTGTATGTGTGTGTATATATATATATATATATAGGTATTTTATTCACTGGTAAAAATTATGGAATTTTCGATCACTTGAAAGTGATCTTAAATCAAATCGAAAGCAAAAAGTGGTTGAAAATAGCAACAAAGATTTTTCTGAATACCAAAAGTGGTCGGAACAAGGCTTTCAACTTGATTTAAGATCACTTTCAGGTGGTCGAAAATTTCATAATTTTCAGTGATTAAAGATGGCAAATTATTGTGTGGACCATGGTCCACACAATGTTATATGGACCATAACAAAAAGTACATTTTTAATATACTAAATGTACATTATTTTTGTACTGAATGTACATTATATAATATAATGCACACTTAGAACAAAAATAATGTACATCCCCTGAATATAATGTACATTATTTTTTTATTGAATGTACATTATTTTTGTACTGAATGTACATTATTTTACAATAGACAAAATATGGTCTACACAACTTGTGTGGACCATGGTCCATACAATAATGATTGATTAAAGATTATATGGGCCAATAACGTGGGAAAATAAAAATTTTACAGCGTATCTACCAACCCACCTTCTACTCTGGCGGGCCTTATCGCCACCACATCCCTATATTTTTCGTCTAACCTCCACGACGCCACCAACTTCCCGCTGCTTGCACACTACAACTTAGGGTGTGGCCTAGTGTCTAAGCAGCCGCCTAGACCGATTTTGACAATAGTGGTATTTATCAACACCTATTTTAATAATACACTACAATCATACGCCATATATAAGTATATAGTATACTTGATTATATCATATACTATTGTTCTGTATCAATAAAATTCCATATGACCAAAATTTAAAGTTAATAACTGATAGATGAAATTGACTCCAAGATAATTATAAAAGGGAAAAATGCTTAATGTAAAAATAAATGAAAGAAAAACTTAGGATATTTGGTAAAATTACTTTGGAGCTGAGTATAATAAGTATTTTGATGAATTATTTAGTTTGATAAATTATGTATTTGTTTAGTTAGGTATATATATTGAATATGAATTATGTACTTTGATGAATTAGATTAAATTTGATGAGTTATGTATACTTTGAATTGATTAATTAGGTATATATATTGAATATGAATTATGTAGTTTGATGAATTAGATTAAATTTGATGAGTTATGTATACTTTGATTTGATTAGTTAGGTATATATATTGAGTATGAATTATGTAGTTTGATGAATTAGATTAAATTTGATGAGTTATGTATACTTTGATTATACATTTGGAATTTTGATGATTTAAGTGCTTTTATTAAGAATTAGGTTCTTTGATTACAAATTAGGTATTTGATTAGTTAGATATATATATTGAACATGAATTATGTAGTTTGACGGATTAGATTGAATTTGATGATGAGTTAGGTATACTTTGAATTATGTAGTTAGATATAGTTCATGAAGATTTAAAATTTTACCATTTCTACATTTTTAGTAGTAATAAAAGGAAAAGATGATTTTACCCCTGTTATAAAAAGAACTTTTTCCCGGTTAAAAATGGATGGAGAAAGCACTGGAAAGACTAAAAGTGCTAAGAAAATGATAATGTGGACTACTTTTGTAAATTTTAAAAATAGTATATTAATGTTGTTAGTCGCACAATACTCGTGTGACCAAAATCGCAGAAATCTCTGAATTTCTTGTTAAGTAAATATAATTTTTAAAGAGACTAAGAGAGTAAAGATTGTTAAGTCCTAAGCATCGGCTCCCTAACCTAATATTCTCTCTGCAAGGGTTTTCCCTCATCCTCCATTGATCGGCTGCCGCGTTCGCTCGTTTTGCGGAGGCGGCGTCGCAGCGCCGGCCTCCCCTCGTTTCTTCCCCTACCGTCTCTCAATTGTCTGTCCTTCGGCCTCTCCTCCGTTGCCGGCACCTCTTCCTGCCTCTCTTCCACCGCCACCATCTCATCCGACCCCTCACAGACGTTTCTTCCTCCTTCACCACCGTCCCTGGCCATCTCCAACTCCAAATCCAAGCTTTTTTATCCTTTTTCAGACGGTTCAATAAATTATATATATATTCTTTTTCCCGTAGTCAACTAGAAATCGTGTACCTAGTACCAGACACTACGATGTCATCTACCAACCCACCCTCTACTCTGGCGGGCCCTACCGCCACCCCATCCCTATATGCTATATTTACCGTCTAACCTTGACGGCGCCACCAACTTCCCGTTCCTTGCACACCTTTCAACTTATATTTAAACCCTTCACACTTCTTCTCCTTCATTCGTCCCTCATTCTTCTTTAATCTCTTTCTTTATAGTAGAGGGAAAGAGATTATTGGTAAGATATATATATATACAGTCCGTCATGTCGAACGCTAATCTTCAGTTCAACCTTACCGCCGTCACCGCTACTTCCAAGTCCCGCTCCACCCTCTTCTCCTCCTCCGGCGACCACCTCAACCGTTTCTGTACTTGTCTTCCGAAACCCGTTTTGCGGCCACAGCGCCGCCGCTTAGGAATCCGGGCAACTGAGGGTTGGCAGCCGCCGCAGGAACGGAATAAGCTTCAGGTGGCGGCGTTGAACAACGTCCTCCATTATCCATCCAAGCTGAAAATCGCGGTGGTGGGGTTCGGAAACTTCGGGCAATTCCTCGCCAAGGCTTTCGTCCGTCAAGGCCACACCGTTCTAGCCCATTCCCGAACCGATTACTCTTCCGAAGCTCACTCCATCGGCGCCTCCTTCTTCTCCGACCCCCACGACCTCTGTGAGCAGCACCCGGACGTCATCCTCCTCTGCACTTCCATCATCTCCACCGAGCCGGTCCTCCGCTCCCTCCCCATCCAACGCCTCAAGAGAAACACCCTCTTCGTCGACGTATTATCGGTGAAAGAATTCCCCAAGAACATATTCCTCCAGCTCCTCCCTCCCCATTTCGATATCCTCTGCACCCACCCCATGTTCGGCCCGGAGAGCGGCAAAGACTCCTGGAACGGCCTCCCATTCGTGTTCGATAAAGTCCGGATAGGCAACGAGGGGTGGAGGGCGGAGAAATTCCTGGACATTTTCTCCACCGAAGGGTGCAGAATGGTGGAAATGAAGTGCTCGGAGCACGACCGGCACGCGGCGGGGTCGCAGTTCATCACCCACACCATGGGGAGGGTGCTGGAGAAGCTGCAGCTGGAGACGACGCCGATTAACACCAAAGGGTACGAGACGCTGTTGAATCTGGTGGAGAATACTGCTAGTGATAGCTTTGATTTGTACTATGGGCTCTTCATGTACAACAAGAACGCCATGGAGCAGCTGGAGAGGCTGGACTTGGCATTTGAGGCACTGAAGAATGAATTGTTTGGGCATTTGCATGACAAGTTGAGGAAGCAATTGTTCTTGATGAAGAGGGAGGGATCAATGGAGAGGCCCCCAAAGTTGTCGAAGTTACCACCAAACAAGGGAAAGGGATATGCTTTGCCACCACCTTCACCTCCTTCCAATTCAGAGATATTGCAGCCTCAAAACCATTAATCCAGCTAAATCACTAATCAAGTTGTTTATGCTTATCTATTGTATACGTGATTATATATATGGTGATATGGAGCGTGAATAATGTACAACTAGCTCCAAATTTATCAATTTATATAAGTTGAAACCTGTTGTATAATTTTTTTTTTGCCAAACACAACTAAACTTTGTTAATTACTTAATATAATGGACATCTTCTAGTAGAGTGACTATGGGTTTTTCTCCTTATCCAAACTGCATAAAAAGGGAAGTAGATCAGACACACCAACTATGCATGTCTTTAAAAAAAAATAACTGGTGTTTGGTAAATATAGTTGTTAGTTGATTGGGTTAGTGCATTTTAATTAATTAGTTGATACGTTAGCTGATTCTAGAAAAATATTTGGTAAATTAGCTGTTAGCTGATAGCTGATTACATGCAAAATAACTTTTTCAAAAAGTTGATCGAAAAAAGTTAATTTGAACAGCTTTTTGAATTTTAGTGTTTTGGAGCAATAAGCTGTTACAAAAAGCTAATTAATCAAACACTTATTGACTGTTTAACCAAGTCAAAAAGTTAATAGTGGTCAAATAAGTTAAAATTGACTGATAAGCTAACTATGTTACCAAACAGGGACATAGTATAATTCCATCCGAGAATCATAAAACTGAAAATCTTCTCATCATCATTGAATCTTTAGTTTAGATTCATTCAATAATACACACATATATTAATTAGTCTCTCTATATATTTGCTAAAGAGAGGAAGCTAGCCACATCCCTCTTTTAAAGCTCTTGAATAGCTCTCTAGCTAACAAGGTGTAGTGGAAATTCCCTTTATTACCCCATCAAACTTGAATTAAATGTATGGTTAACTGATAAGAAATGTATTTAAAATGTGACAATAATAAAATAGGCCTGAGTTTAGATCATAATAACACCAACCAACTAACTATTAGCATTATTTAATTTATAGACGATATTGCTCGGATTCTCTATCTGTATGCGATTTGAACAAACCTTCTTCAAGTGTTATATTCTAAGATATTCAAAAATAAGATTAAAGAAATAGTCGTCAAAACTCAAAAGGTTGGTATAGGTTGTACTAGTTGACAAATTGGATGGTAATCATTACTTGAAATTTTTAATAATACTTTCACTTCATTTTACATATTTAATTTGATTAACAAATTATTTAATTCAATCTCTTTTACCTTTCTGTATTGTTTTTCCAAGAAGATATAAAATATTTTACTCTCAAACTATATAACAATAAATAATAATTTTTTTTCCAAAATCCTTTTTAAGGATGCCAATTAAGTAATATAATATTATCTAAGATTTTACAACAAAATAAAGGATTACCCATGAGAGTGGAAGGCTAGTCACTTACTCACCCTAACCAAGCTGATTCTCTCTCTTTTTCTTTTCTAACCTAAATAATACATTTTAATTTAGAAGTATTATCATATTTTCTATCAAAAGTATTAGTATTATTACACTTTTTTTTTATAAGTAATAATTAATTTTTCTATGATTAGTATTACATTTTTTTTTTCTTTTCTCATAAGTATTACATTTTTTCTCAAAAACATCATATTTTTTTCTTCATAAGTATTGAATAGTTTATCTTTAATTAGTATTACATTTCTATTTAGACCCAACTTGTCTCACAGGAAAAGATTAGTGAAATAGCTTAACCACTCACCCATATAACAATAAATAATAATTAAAAAAAGGTTTTTCTCTAAACGTACGTACTCAACCCGTCTCACAAAAAATATTTATGAAACAGTACTCAGGCACTCATATAACAATAATTAATAAATTTTTGCAGCCAAATAAATGATCATTAATGTCAAACCTATAACTATACCGTCTAGCTCTACCTCTACGACAGCATAACATTTCAAGAATTAGCAAACTTGTTTATAGGTGACGATGGCGACAGCAGCAGCTAGCTGTGTGAACAAGGAAACTTACGTGCATATGTAAAGTGCGAACGTGTTTGGTGGAGAGAATTGAAGCAGCTAGCTAGCTTGTATTTTATATATATAGTCCAATGGTTGGTGGATAGGATGAGTTGATTTGAATGTATTACACGACCTTTGATTGACCCATTCTCTTGGACTCTTGTAGGATTTTGCCTTCTGGTGCAAGGGCAAAGTGGACAACTGGTGTAGGCTATTTGTACATAAAAAACACTTTGGTACACTTCTACAAAAACTTTCTTTCACTACTACAAGAAAAATGCACATAGACAATACTCAATAGACAACGGTTTTTCTATAGTTTGATATTTAACAACACTGGTTTCAATAACACTCAATAGACAACGGTTCAAAAACCGTTGTCTTTTTTAGAAAAGACAACGGTTAAAAACTGTTGTCTATGTGCGTGACTTTTAACAACACTCAATAGACAAGAACCGTTGTCTTTTCAAGAAAAGAAAACGGTTAAAAATCGTTGTCTATGTGCGTGGCTTTTAAAAACACCAGTTTCAACAACACTCAATAGACAACGGTTCAAAAACCGTTGTCTATGCCTGGGACTTACAACAACACTGGCTTCAACAACCAAAATTTTATCCCTACGACAACGGTGAAAAACCGTTGTTTATGTGCATTTTTCTTATAGTGTTCGGTTAAAATAGATGCTTCTAGGTTTTGAATGCATGTCACGGTAAGTAATACTATGGGGTGTTTGGTAAATAGCTGTTAGTTAATTGAGTTAGTGAGTTTGACTAATTGATAGCATTAGTTGATTGTAGAAAAATATTTGGTAAATTAACTGTTAGCTAATAGTTGGAGAAAATTTCAATTTTGGTCCACTGACTATTGGGGTTGTGTTAATTGCAACACTTGACTTTCAAAAATATTAATTTCGTACCTTGACTATGCAATTTCTATCAATTTTGGTCACTCCGGCCAAATTGCCGGCCAAATCTCACCGGAAAATTTTAATAGGTCAAATAATGAGGGTTTTTTAGTCATTTTACATTTTTTCTTTCTTCCCCGGCAGCAACTCCATTTCCGGCGACTTCTTCTTGAATCTATTCGGCGGCATCAGTTGCTCCAATTTGGCCAGAGAGGGAACTCTTGCTCCAACTTCCCATTCTCAACGAGAACCTTGGACAGAGGAACTAAAGCAAAGCCAAGCAATTGATCTTCCAAATAATTCTTCACTCTGCTCATCATCCATATCTCGCACTTGAGAGAACATTCAGTGGTACGGACATTCAGCTGAAGATTGTCATTGAAAACTGGATTTTGCCCACCACCATTAATAATTTTTGTGGGGAGTGCACTTTCGGGATCACTCGTTAGGCAAAGCTTAGCATAAACATCTTGCTTGTGATATATGCAGATTTAAGAAGTCAATCTTCTGCTTCTCAGGTTGAGTTAAAAAAGTGGATTCCTTGTATGGTGACACAACAGATTGAGGTGAATCCATGAAAACACACTTGACCTGGGAAATGGGAAATAGAAGATAAACAAAGAACTCCCATCCAAGTTGGAGCAACTGATGCCGCCGAATAGATTCAAGAAGAAGTCGCCGGAAATGGAGTTGCTCGCCGGGGAAGAAAGGAAAAATGTAAAATGACCAAAAAACCCTCATTATTTGACCTATTAAAATTTTCCGGTGAGATTTGGCCGGAGTGACCAAAATTGATAGAAATTGCATAGTCAAGGTACGAAATTAACATTTTTGAAAGTCAAGTGTTGCAATTAACACAACCCCAACAGTCAGTGGACCAAAATTGAAATTTTCTCCTAATAGTTGATTACATGCAAAATTACTTTTTCAAAAAGCTGCTCAAATAGCTTTTTAAATTTTAACATTTTAGAGTAATAAGTTGTTTCAAAAGCTAATTAATCAAACACTCATATTGATTATTTAACCAAGTCAAATAGTTAATAGTGGTTAAATAAGCCAAAATTAACTGATAAGCTAACTATATTTGATAGTTCCTCATTCTAACTATTAAAGCTTTACTAGCCGTCGCAATATGTAAAGTTCAAATCCCACCAAATTTTTTTTTAAAAGAAGGTATAATATAAATTTCACTTTGTTGTATGCACTAACTTAGTGTACAAACATTTAATGTCTTAAAACAAGTTAAGGTATATTTATTTTACGGTTTATCTCCTCCACTCGCCTTTAGGCAAAAACAACTAAAAACTCAAGTTTAGAATTCAATAGGATTCATAAGAGGTGATGCGAAGAAGAGAAAACGTGGCTCTGAATTAGTCGTAAATGATTAATTATTGGAGTGATATGAAAGAGACATCATTTGACTGTGAGATTTTGAGCAATGACTTTTGGCCCTGTTATGGGGAGTTGGCTAACATTTGTATTGTATTTGAGTTGTTGAGTTTCATTGTCAATCTGTATCTGGACATCTTTTGATTCTCAAAAGATTTTAGTTTGTGCATTTTGCTGGTCAATTATTTGAAAAATTTTCAGCTTCTGATGTAAATAATTTGGTCAGAGTTACATATTAATCTTTCTTTAGATTTGAAATTTTATGATATTAACCTCAACTCATCTAAAGTGTATGATTATTAATTATAGTTTACACGTATGATTTTTAAAATATATATAAATCATCAATAGAATTAAATTATATTTCTGAGTCTAGTTACGAATTAGTGAATTACCAATTATACTTAATTGAGGTTGGTGAAACTTCATGAGCTTTCTCAAGTTGGATACATATTTGGGTTTGAGTAGTTAAGAATGATGGTGGAAATACTACAAATATAATTATCTAATTTTAAAATCTAATACTTTTTTTTTTTCCGAAAGTCAAACCAACAAATATCATTAGTTGGAAACAAAAAATAAAAATCACAAATACATAAATGAGGAGACGACCTCTAAGACATTGTACTAGCTTGAGGAAACGTAACCAAACATGAGTTACATGGTTCAATTCATTGACTTTTTAACATGACAAAATGTAACGTTAATAAAAAAGATACAATAAATTGAGATAAGCAATATGTGGAACAATAAAGGGAGGAGCAATAATTTTTTATTTTTGAAGGTTGGAGAAATATTCTTAATTGGATCATAAATTGAGATAAGTAATATGTGCGACAATGAAGGGAAAAAAAAATTCCAAATCAGGCTATAATTATAAAAAAAAAAAAAAAAAAAAAAGGAGAAACCCGACAAACTAATGGCCCGCTTGGTTCACGGAATAGGTTGGGAATGGCATAGCATTCCCAGTAATAGGCCTATTCCTTTCTTTGGTAACCTTTTCTATTACCCTGAATAATATTCTTTGTAATAGCCTATTACCTCAAATAAGGTAATAACTATTACTAGGGCCCCCCTGGTATTAGCCTATTACTGAACGCTCGGGAATAGATTTTAGAATCTATTTTCATTTTTACCCCTTTCTTTAACCTAATTTTTTTTTATCTTATATATAAATTTATCCTATTTCACCACCGTCGCTGCCACCACTATCACCACCATCGCCGTCGCCGCCACCACCACCACCACCATCGCCACAACCGTCGCCGCCCCCACCACCACCGCCGCCCCCACCACTGCTACCGCCACCACCACCACTACCACCCCAGCACCACCACGCCACCACCATCGCCATCACCGCCACCAGAACCACCACTGCCACCGCCACCATCACCACCACCGCCACCACCATCGCCGTCGCCACCACCACCACCACCAGAACCAACACCCAACAGCACCACCACCACCACCCCCACCACCGCCGCCACAACCGTCGCTGGCCCTACCACCACTACCACAACCGTCACCGTCACCACCACCACCGTCGCCCCCACCATTGCCACCACCACCACCACCGCCACCATCACATATTTTTATAAGGGTATTTATGTCTTTTAAAACGTATTTCATTTCTATTCCTTAAATCAACCAAACACTTTAATATAATTCCTAAAGTCTATTCCTTCTGCGAACCAAATAATAGAATACAATTCTTATTCTATTCCTTGCATATTCCATTCCTTATGGAATAGCATTCCTATTACCTCAAAATTCATTCCGTGAACCAAACGTGCTGTAAGAGTAACTACTAGAGACATAACGGTTACAAGGGAATCCCACTAAATCTTCCTCAAGGATCAGTAGAACTTCATTAGCCCTTTGAGAATTGTCCAACTTTTCGTCTCATCACTACTCTTAGCTTGAACTAACTAAAACCACAAATCCTCCTCTTCATATACCCTCCGAGTCTCTCAGAGCCCAAATTGAGATAAGTAACACAATGAAGAAATTACAAATAGATAAAGTTTCTCCCTAAAACCAAAAAGGATCGAAGGGAGCATAGTTATATGACCAATCAAGTTAAAATAGTATATTTAAAAAAAAAAAAAAAAAAAAGAGTGAACTATTCCATTTGCATAGATATAGTCCAACCAAAGTTTCTTATTGACCAATTTTATATATCAGGGACTAGGGTTCACCATGCACATTGCGGACCATGTCTAAACTATATACATGCAATTAATTTATTATATATGTACCTTCAGTTAACAATTACATACATATTGCAATTAACATATTATGTACTTTCAATTTATTCACATGCACATAATATGTTAATTAAAAAAAAAACATAATATTTTACTGCAGGTATATAATTTGGACCAAGATCTACCATGCACATGATAAACTTTGGTCCATGATATAATTTGCGCCTGAAGATGGCAAATTGTATCGTGCACCGCGGTGCATAATCGATTATGCACCGCGCATCAAAACGACGCCGTTTTATTTAATAAAAAGAAACAGAATCTGTTTCGCGTCGTTCCGCAAAAAATAACTCTGTTTTTTAGTTTCATTTTGTATACACTGCAGTTTCAGTTTAACACAACTACAGTTTCATTTCGATATAACTACAATTTCATTCAATATTTATACACTCAAATATGTGAAAATGTTATTTAATTTTATTTTATATACACTATAGTTTCATTAAAACACAACTACATGATCATTTCGATATAATTACAGCTTCATTGTATAATATACACTCAAATATGTGAAATGTTATTCAGTTTCATTTTATATATACTGCAGTTTCATTTCACCACAACTACAATATCATTTTGATATAACTACAGTTTCATTTGATAATATAAAAATAATACGTGAAGCAGTGTCGGTTTAGATACACTGTAGTGTCACTCCGTTAACACTAACAACGCGCCATTTCTTTACTTAAAGAAACGGCACCGTTTTAATGCGCGGTGCATAATCAATTATGCACTACGGTCCACGATATAATGACTGTCTAAAGATGGTTTGGGCTAACAACCGGAACCAAAAGGTCAAATTGGGCTCAATTGTAACCATTATGCCTTTAGAAAATGGGCCACCTTATCTTTTGCGTTAACACACTCCTTCAGCACACAAAATGTGAAGGGAAACATAGTAAAGGGTACATTAAAAAAAAAAAAGAAAAAAAAAAAAGAGCATGACCAAGGAAAATGATGATTGGCAGTTCAAAATTGAAACAAGAAATCAAATCCTTACAACATCTAATGGTCTCTTTCCCTGCTGGTAATTCTGAAAAAACAGCCCAACAAAATTCCTGATATTCCTGTATAATCTTGGCCTTTCTTCAGTGATCAGCTTCTCCACTGGTCCAATCTCACTATTTGAATCTGGCATAAAAAACACAGCCAAACTGTTCCTTTCCCTCTCCGTGTTTGTCACCACCCTATGCACAGGACTCTTGAACACCCCATTAGTCATTATCTGTAAAAAAAACATCATCAATGTTCACAATGCTTATGTTACAGTTAGAAGTTTAGAACTACCTTAATTGTGATCTATAACGACACTGAAAGACTACCTCGGCTTGATCTCCAACATTGACAACAATGGCATATGGAACTATGGGGACTCGGAACCACTGACCGTCTTTCAGGACCTGAAGCCCTTCGACATCTTTGTCCTGCAACAGGAAAGTGAAGACCGTGCCATCCGCGTGTGGCTTCACACCGAGAACAAGATCAGGGCTCGGGCATGGGGGATAGAAGTTGAACCTTGCTACCTTGGATGCTCGATCTCGATCTCCAAACTGGTTTACAAAGCTGTTCTCCTCCAGGTTCAGTGACAATGCCATGGCCTTAAGTAGGAGTTCATTCAAGGCAGTCAGCTTCTTAACATATTCTTCCAGAACTTCCCTGCCAAGTAAAATAGGAACTTCTGATCCATATTTTATTAGGATGGGGTGGGATAAGGAGAGGATAACTTAAGTCTTAAACTACTCCCACACTAGAAGAGTAATTCAGGGTATTTTATGGTATCCCAAGAAGTGCTAAAAACAACTTGATATCTTGTCTCATACCAGGATTAAGCGCTTACCACTGTGCTAAAAACAATAGCCCGTAGCGAAGGCGTAATTTTATTTCTGACATTACATTTTCAAGAGGAAGACGGCCTTTCACCGGTCTCCGCCCAGCAATCCTCTAGCCCCCAATTGATGGACTTGGCCTTTCACCGGTCTCCGCCCAACAATCCTCCGACCACCAATTGATGGACATGACATTTTACTGGTCTCCGCCCAACACATATAATATATAAACATAAATGTGCAATCCAATTATTAGCTTACGCTTTTAATTGAGTTGAAACACATGCTCTAATTTGATAACCAAGCCAACCCATGCTATCCCAAGAAGTGCTAAAAACAACATGATACGGATCGCTATTGTTTTTGGCATAATGATAAGCGTTTAATCCTGGTATGAGACAGGATATCATGTTGTTTTTAGCACTTCTTGGGATACCATAAAATATCTTGAATTCCTCTGGCCACCAATTGATAGACTTGGCATTTTATTGACCTTTGCCCACCACATATAATATATAAACATAAATGTGCAATTCAATTATCAGCTTACGCTTTTAATTGAGATGAAACACATGCTCCAATTTGATAACAAAGCCAACCCCTGCTAAAGCTAAGAATGGAATGAAAACAAACCTAAAATTTTCAGGATTTGCAGGCCAGAGATTGTACTTTATTTGCTCTTGAGGGCTCACAGTAAGATACAATCTATCAGTCCAATCAAGAATTTGATGTTCTGAAAGAATTGAATCATTCCCATACCCCTCAGTATCATCAACAGTTCTCCCATACTTCTGCTTCTCCTCCATTGGAAGAGCAAAGAAGCTTTTGCCAATTTCGCCAACTTTGTCAAGGAAATCATCTGAAATCCCATGGTTTATCGCCTGAATAATGTTAAACAATCCTCATAAGCAGATAAGAAAACCAAGACTCCAAAGAGCCAAATAATGGGCATGTGTATAATTCAACCTGAAAGCAGCCGCAAGAACTGAGAGTTGATCTGAGTTTGGTGAGCTCCTTTTCCATGGCCGGCGAGGACGTCGAAGATGAGAGAAGGCTAAGATCAATAGAAGCAAGATCCAGTGGAGGGCAAGAGGGTTGAATATGAGCATCTTTGGTGTGAATATAGTTTTCTGGGACTTGCTTGCAGGCTTCTGCAGCTAGTTGTTGAACTGGCTTGGTAGGAGGCAAAGATTCAGCCATGCTTCCCAAACTATTGAAATATAGACTAGAATTTAATGAAACCAATTACTAGAGTAGTAAGCAAAGCAGATAAATTGGGGCCGGAGAAGTATATGAAAGTTGTATGATGTTAGAGATTCAAGGATTGCTTATTATTTTATGGATTTTTTCTAGATAACCACAACCTGAATTTATTTATTTAGTTTTTATCATGGGGAAAACTCAAAGGTTGAATTTGAATAACTATTTTTGCATCCAGATTTTCTGCTTTCTCTTTGATTTTTTTACCATCGATTTAAAATGGTAACATACCCCTTTGTACTATTTTATGTGTCTTACTTTTCTTTTTAGTCTATTCTAAAATAGTGTCATTTTTTTAAAATTGAACATAACTATCACTCTATATTTTTCAATTTACCCTTTTGACTTTTCAAATTTATAGAGGTAAGTACAATTGTACTTTGTACAAATAACCCCTATTTTTGAGAGGCAAAAGTAGAAAGTTAATACCATTTGTTACATTGTATTAAAAATTGTGTAAAAAACAAATGAGACAATCAATTAGAGACGGAGGGAGTATGTTATAACACTACATAGTAGTGACTATTTTATTTGTCTAAAAATTAAATTCAACTAACTTGATTGGTGTAGGTCGCTCTCATTTATTAACAGAAGTCAGGATTTCAAATTCCCATCTCGTAGGGAGAAACCAATCTGACCAGTACTATGTCCCTTAATTGGATCGAGTGATCGACCCAGTGTGAACGATACATAAATGTATCTACTACAGTTAGGATCTGGTCAAAACACCTCGGGTCTAACAGAAAAAGATAAAATTCACCATATATTCAATTAGTTAAGTGATGCAGTCATTACATCAAACACTTTCTGGAGGCAGGGAAGTGAGGCAACTGACCGCGCCCGCGCGCGCATTCGAATGATTCAAAATCCCTTTATCACTGCTACCCAAATCGATTCTACTCTATCCCTCTTCATGCAAAAATGCAAAACCCTAAGCCACCTCAAACAAATCCATGCCCATCTCCTCAAACTCTATCTCCCCGAGAGCCCTTCCTCCATCGCCCCGCTTCTATCCTTTGCCGTCTCCTCCAAGAACCCAGCTTTCTTCTCGTATGCGCGCGCCATTTTTCAGAATCTTCAATTCCGAAGCACGTTCATGTACAATACCATGATCAGAGGATACGTGCAATCGCATTTGCCGGTGCCCGCAATTCTTTGTTACAAAGAAATGCTCAGTTATAAGCTTATTGTGAATAATTATACGTTTACACCCCTGATCAAGGCCTGTTCTATGGTCTTGGATGATTCTAAGGAAATGGGTTTTTCGGTACATGCCCATATATTTAAACTTGGGTTTCAGCAAGATCGTTTTATTGCCAGTGCGTTGATTGAGTTTTACTCGTTGGCTCTTGATATGAGGAAGGCCGGTATGCTGTTCGATGAAATTCCTGAGAGAGATGTGGTGATGTGGACGACCATGATTGATGGGTATGGGAAAACTGGGGAGGTGAATAAAGCCAGAGCACTGTTTGAGGAAATGCCTGACAGAAATGTGATTTCTTGGAGCACAATACTGGCGGCTTATTCCCGGGTTAGTGATTTCAAGGAAGTTATGGTGTTATATAGGCAAATGGAAGAGGTTGGTATGAGGCCTAACGAGTCGGTGCTTGTGACTGCGGTCACAGCTTGTGCTCATCTCGGCTCACTAGAGCAAGGCTTATGGATTCACTCGTTGGCCAAGCGGTATGGATATGATTCGAACCTCATTTTAGCCACTGCATTAGTGGATATGTACTCAAAGTGTGGTAGAATGGACTTTGCTTTATCTGTTTTCGAGGGGATTTCCTGTAAAGATACTGGATCATGGAATGCTATTCTATCAGGATTTGCAATGAATGGAGATGCAGTGAAATCCCTTCATATGTTTGATAAAATGATGTCAACCGGGGCACGGCCAAATGAGACCACATTCACCTCCCTTCTCTCTGCCTGCACTCATGCAAAGTTAATAGACGATGGCCTTCTGTTATTTGATAAGATGAGTAGTGTTTATGGAGTGAAACCAAGATTTGAGCATCACGCATGCGTGGTAGACCTCCTAGCAAGAGCTGGTAACTTAGAGGAAGCCGAGAAATTCATTGATGAGAAGATGGGTGGAATAGAAAAATGCGATCCCAATGTTTGGGGCGCATTGCTGAGCGCGTGCAGGGTATATGGCAATGTTGAAATTGGGAACAGGTTATGGAGAAAACTTTGTAATACAAGGGCAGCTAACTATGGGACTCATATGCTTTCATACATAATGTACAAGGAAGCTGGGTGGGATGCAGAAGCTAAAAGTGTGAGACAATTGTTAGAAGATGCAGGAATGAAGAAGAAACCAGGATGCAGTTCCATAGAGGTTAATGGGTGTTGGGTAGAGGCCGGCAAAAGTTCAAGTCCAACATTAGGTGTCTAGGGGATCCTTAGGCGGATGCCAGAATGGTCAAGTCTAGCACTATGCCTTTAAAAAATGTGGCGGTATAAGAAGACAATAAAGTTACGCCTTCACTAGAGTCAGGTGCAATGCTAGGGAAACGTGCAGCATTCTTGAATCTCTAGCAATGTAATGTATCTCAATAAAGAAATTTCAGAATTTATGTTTACTCTTTGGTGTATTTATTATAGGGAAAAGTGTCAAATTGGCCTCCTAAGTCGACGGGATAGTGCAATTGGGTTCCCTAACTAAAAAAGTTCCATTAAGATCTCCTAAACCTGTAAAATTGTTCGATATCTCAGTAAAGAAACTTCAGAATTTATGTTACTCTTTGGTGTATTTATTATAGGTAAAAATGTCACATTAGCCCCCTAAAGTCGACGGGATAGTGCAATTGAGTCCCCTAACTAATAAAAGCTTCCAATTTAAGGGGAGTCGTTGACCTCGTGGGTCCCCTAACTAATAAAAGCTTCCAATTTAAGGGGAGTCGTTGACCTCGTTGGTCCCCTAACTAATAAAAGCTTCCAATTTAAGGGGAGTCATTGACCTCATGGCCTAGTTCGTCAACCTCCAATACCCCCCCGCCACAGCAAAGCTCTATGGTAAAGGAGGCGAAGTAGCACATCCCATAGTCTTTTTTTTCTCACACCTTCTGAGGGGATCAAACCCACGACCACGTGGTTAAAAGCCACGCGCTCTACCACTGAGCTAAGACGGCTTGACCTTTGATTTTGAATATTATAACTTTGTAATCAAAATAAATATTATACTAGGTTAGTCGTTGACCTGCAATCCCCTCCAACGAGTCTTGTCTTCTCTAAGACGTGGCCTAGTTCGTTAACCCCTCCAATACCCCCCTGCAAAGCTCTATGGTAGAGGAGGCAAAGTAGCACATTCTATTGTTTTTTTTCTCACACCGTCTGTGGGGATCAAACCCACGACCACGTGGTTAAAAGTCACGCGCTCTACCACTGAGCTAAGACAACTTGACCTTTGATTTTGAATATTATAACTTTGTAATCAAAACAAATATTATACTAGGTTAGTCGTCGGATTGTTTAAATTTTATGTGTTGTCTTGTTAAAAATATTTAGAAATTATAAGTGAAAGCAAGATTTAAGACTATTTTTATACTACAAATCCACAATTCAATTCATTACTATTTTATCATCATTCTAACAATTTTAAACTCACCCTCAAAAAGTTGCCAAAGTAATTGAAAGATTGCAAAAATTGTTGCAATCTTTCAACTATTGTCTAAAATAAATAAGATATCTAGTATGGGTCATGTTGCAATCTTTAAACTTATATAGATAACATTAATCTTATAACAATTAATATATTAAAATGTTAAGAGATATGAACTTTTTGATGGTTGATTGATTGCAATTTGCAAATGAGGATTATTTACAAAAGAGCATAAAATACTTGTTGGTAGAGTAAATTTAGTCATTCATCAATTAACTGTATTATATTTATTCTTATTTTATATTTACTTTAGTGTGTACCGTATTAGATATAGATTAAAAATAATTAGGACAATACATAAGTTTATTTTTATGTGGTATGATTCGAGTATATATTTTTAAAAATAAAAATAGGAAGGATTATTTTAAAATTTTCTACATGTACTTTATTTATTTTCAACATTTTAAAGTGTTTTATTTTTTCCCTGAGAAGGGAGTATATACTCTCATAGTCTCATATACCATTTTCCTTGTGTTTAAGCTCAGGTATGTTTGTGTCCCAGATTCTCTTACGTCGACAATCACTTAATTCTCGCCACAGAGTCTTTTGTGACGAATATTACTACTTCCGTGGCAAACCGGCAATCCTCTCAAGTTCAACCCCTCATTCTGCTCCAAAAAAATATCAAGAAAAGAGGGAAAAAAACAACTAAAGTTGGCCACTTTTGAGCTTCAGATATCATTCCCTGTTGTAATTTGATGTTTCTTGGTTTAATAGCTCTCCACTTTGCTGCTAATTGTTGCAATATTTTATTGTCGTTCGTTTTCCCAAGGGAAGTCCATGGCTAAGCTGCTCACGGTAAGAGCAGAGAACCATTTCTGCTGTCTTTCACAGTATACAACCCATAAAGCTCAAGTCTTTAAGCCCATAAGTGTACCACCCAATAAGCATGGGTTTAGGTTCAGAGTTTCTTGTCTCAAAGAGAAAGAGAAGGAATTCCTACTGGAAACCAAGAAAACACTTAATGGGATTGGACTGAATGGAGAGTTGGGCAAGAAGGGTGGGCTGATTAAAACTTCTGGGGATGAATTGGGAGCTGAAAGTAGGGAAAATGAAGCTGGGTTTTATGGGGATTGGCCACCATGGAAGAATCTTCCTCAAAGATATAAGGTTATTGGGACTACTGCTCTTGCCTTTGTTATCTGTAACATGGATAAGGTAATCAATGTTTTCTTTTCTGAACATTCTTTGATTACTTAATCTAAGTGTTTTTGAAGTATGCAAAACTTGTCAAAATTGAATTTTTGCTGAGATTTTTGTGCATAGTCGGTAGTTGGATGAATTTAATGATAGTCATGTTTATACTCATTGATCATAGTGGAATGATGTTCTCCTTGTTGTATCTATTTAACTCTTACATGTTGGGGGAAATTGCACCAAACAGTGTAATGTTTAGGCCAGTTTGATTTAGAAATCATCATGAGATGATGAAAGGTTTTTCATTTAGAAAGTTCACTAAACCTTTTATTAGAATGGAAGAGATGAAATGATGTAAAATAGGCCTCGCTTTTACAATATTGCCTTTCCAAGTCGGAGTTTGGTTGTATAAACAGCATGAAACAGATGCTTCCTTTACTTAATAGGTGAATTTGAGTGTTGCCATAATTCCAATGTCGCATCAATTTGGATGGAATTCTTCTGTAGCTGGATTGGTACAATCATCTTTCTTCTGGGGCTATGCATTAAGTCAATTGCCAGGAGGTTGGCTGGCAAAGATATTTGGTGGCCGGTAATTTGTTTATTGAATTGTTATGTATTTGCATAGTAAATTTGATAATCCATAAAAGGAAAGAAGACATGCTAGTTTACATCGAAACCTGCTCATTTGGTTTTCTTTGCATTTGCAGAAAGGTTCTTGAAGTTGGAGTTCTTGCCTGGTCACTCGCAACGGCACTAGTTCCCATTCTTTCAGGGTTTATGCCTGCTCTCATTTTTTCTAGGATTTTGGTAATTTTGATACTTTCTTTCATTTTTCTGGGGATTTAACAAGGAGATGAGTAATTCACAATAAAAACACATAATTAAGAGTATGTGTCCTTGATGCTATACCCATAAGATTTTATAGTCTTCTACACAGTATGTTCAACATAATAATAATTGTTTTCGCATATGCAGGTTGGAATAGGAGAAGGTGTTTCACCATCAGCTGCCACTGACCTGATAGCCAGGCATGTGTGACTGAAAAGAATTTAGAGGCATGAATCTTGGATAGTTTCTAGTCTACTAAATTTGTGTTCTCTACACATCTTTTGGTATTCTGGATGCCCTTTTGTGGTTGTCCTGCTGCTCATGAAAGTTGAAACTTCTCCTTATACCTTGCACTGCTTCTTAGTTTTTCAACTAGAAAGATTTTTAAAGTGAAGTTTTTTTGCCATAGCTACAATGAAGGTTCATAGTTATATTTCTGGAATAGATGCACATAAGTCACCTTAATATGGTTGAAGAAATGGTTAATAGTTATGGATTGTTTCATTAAGGCTGTTCTCTAGATACTTTGTACGGTGCAGTTAAGATGTTTTTTGGTAAAAATGTCTAGGATTTCTGATTCACCATGCTTACATATATACCCATAGATGCAAACAAGTTAACTTTTTTATGTTTCGATTTTCTTTTGTTGTTTATGTAGCATTTGTAGTGATGGTTCATTTAATGGTAATACTCCTTACTTCAGTTCTGCTAAGAAGATTATATATTTATGCTTTTGTTTATTCTTCTTACGGTGGTGTTGAACTTGTGTAGGTCAATACCATTGGAAGAGCGTTCACGGGCAGTATCATTTGTTTTTGGTGGTTTAAGTTTTGGAAGCGTTACAGGGTATATTACTTCAATAATCCCGTTAAGTCATTAAAAACTTAAATTTATCAATGTATGTTTGTAATATTGCAAAATTTCCATATTGGTTTCCTAGTCACTTGCGGTGTCATGAACTTGCAGACTTCTTTTGGCTCCTCCTCTAATCCAAAATTTTGGCTGGGAATCTGTATTTTACTTGTTTGGCTTCCTTGGCATAGCTTGGTAAGTTGCCACGTGGCATTAAACTTCAGTTTTCTCATATCTCTAGAGAAAGATCTCATTTCATTCCAATCTTTTATAATGACAGAAGAAGCTGCATAGGTTAAAAGCTTTCTACTTAATGATACCGTCTTTATATATTTCAGGTTCTTGGGATTTCAGATAGTGAAAGAAGACGAGTCCTCTTTCTTTCAAACAACTATGTCTGGTAAGTACAATTTCCTTTTTCTTTCCTTTCACATGCACCGGTGTTTATTTAGTTTCCTACGAAATTAAGAATTATTAGCATGCGGAAAGTTTTGTTCCCCTTGCCCTGGCATAAACACTTCACGAACAATCTGTTTAGTCTATCAGTGAAGAATTTAATAATTCACAATGGAAAAATGCCTTTATTGCTACTTTTTCATTTATCTTTGTAAAAGGTAGTCCTTCCCAAACATGAACAGTAGATAACATTTCCAATAACCCTGGATGTGATCAATGTCGATTAACTGTGTGCCTGCAGTTTTGGATCGAGCATTGTAGGAGAAAATCTAACTCTTAATGTTTTACAGGGCCTCAGTCCTTGTCCATAAAGGAATCACCGAGTCCTTCGTTGTCAGAGTTGGGTGCTTCTCTCAAGGTATGGTGCAGTTTTCTCATTTATGTGGTCTTTTTAAGAGGATGCATGCGAGTTACATTATATTTATTAGAGATTTAGATTGTTAGGATCAAGCGCTTACCACTCTGCCAAAAGCTATAGCTCGTAACCAGCTTGGTTGGCGTGAGTGGCTGTACTCTCATCATTTAAGAGAGGTTGGGAGTTCGAACCCCCTCTCGTATGGAAAAACCAATATGGCCAGCACTGTACCCCTTAATTGGGCCGGCCCGGTGCGAACGGGGATTAGTAAATATGGTACGGGCTTGGTTGGTGTGAGTGGCTGTGCACTCTCGTCCCTTAAGAGAGGTTGGGAGTTCGAACCCCTGCTCATATGGAAAAACCAATATGGACAGCACTTTGCCCCTTGGGCCGGCCCGGTGCGAACGGGGATTAGTCTGAGTATGGTACGGGCTTAAAGGTGCATCCTACAGTTAGGGCCTGCTTAGGACACCTCGTGGTTT